TTGATTTGGCACTACCATCAGTAGAATCAATCATTCTATGAAGAGAAATTGATTAAACAAAATACGTGTTGGGGGACATCCGTTTTTTGGGACCACAGATGAAAATGCATTGCAGTGACCAGGATGATGTCTGGTAGTCTATAAAATTATAGGGTCTCTTTTAGTTACCTAGAATATCCTAGAATACTATTTGTGGTTGGACATCTTATGAAATTGCACCAATTATATATCCTCTATGAAATAATAGGGCCTGTGCCAAAGGTTCTCTCCCCCAAGACCAGCCAAGTTGCTGATGCCAATTGAGGGACCGCGAAGCTCGTCTTGAATTTCGGGAATTGCGAATCCACATAGTGTCCATGCCTCCTTTGGCGCTCCGCAGTCGCACCAACAGTCTGAATAGGGAGTTGAAGAGGTCACCCTTCATCTGCACTGCTTCCAGCAGGCTTGAAGGCAGGTGGTTTCCCTCGCGTCTTTCCCCACTTTTTGGGCTGACAGCCGTTTCCATGCCAAAGGCCTCTGCAACGTTGGCTAAAGTGCAAAGATGCTTGAGAAGTTCACCGTCTGGCAAATCCTTCGTCTCTGCGTCCACGCCAAGTGGATCTTCTTGGTCTTGAGCCGCGAACGCATCAGGATCTTCAGAGGCCCACATCCTGTTGCACTCTGCATCTTGCTGCAAATGCTCAAGAAACTCTTCGCATTCTGTCTTGCTCTTTGCGTGCGGCTTGACGTCTTCCTCTTCCTCCAATTCCTCTAGCGGGTCTCCATCTTCAGGATCTTCGATCTCCTGCTCACACCTCTTCCTATACATGGCCTCCAGGATGCTGGACTTCATATCGCTGACTTTGGAGACCAGTGACAATGTTGCTGCAAGTGCATTCTTGCAGCAGGTTTCAAACCTCAGCAGGTCTAGCAAGAAAACACGCAAAACCACTATAAAATGGATGGTATTGCATGGATGCTTGGAGTTCTCTTAGCAAACAAAGACTAACAAGGAGAAGTCTGCAGAGGCCATTGAAATCTATATACAAGTCAACATGCATCCACAAAAACATTATGATACATATTGATACATCATGAATCGTTACGATTCATTATGACACATATTCCTGGCTAGAGGCTGTTGATGCGTAAGCTTCTCCTCACCCATGTTGGAATTGGACAACTTGATCCTGTTCAGCGTATTGCTGGAACGAAAGGATTGTCTTGCATCTGCAGCAAAGTATTGCCGTGTTGTCAACTGACTGTTGCTCATTTGCGAACGGAGATGCCCGAACACCTGCTCTATCGCAATTTCCGTCAATCTGGCGTTGCCATACCGCCAAGGCTCAAAGTCGATGTCCTTCGTGAGGCACACCACGACTGTGGAAAGAGCAACGTATTGCAAGTTGGCACACGTGACAGGGGCCATGAATGTGCTGCCTGCAGGCAAGCACATTTGCTTGCACTTGTCCATAGCAAGCATTTGAAACATATCCAGGCACAGGAAACCTGAAAGCGCTGCTTCAGCTCGCTCCTGCAATGAAATGTCTCGGTGGAAAGCGGGGGCTAGGCAGAGTGTCACGCAAAGGTGATGCAAAAGACAGCCCTTCAGTGACCATGGTACCGTCATGCTGGCATAGTCTGAGTCCTCACAGCACAGACAGTTCTAAAGAAAGCATGGGCACACAAGCAAAAACATACCAAAACAATTCAAAACATATAACAAAAACAGTAAACCACATCAAAGTACATCAAAGCACCAAAAAAAAACTAGTGTATCCTAGCAACGACTGATTCCACCAAATAATGCGGATTCGACCGGATCGCTTGAAAGCGGTCACTCATCGGGCTTCCCCTAGCATAAGGAAGTGGCGGCAGCCCCATCTCTCTGCAAGCCGTATGATCTGCCCAGAAAGAACCATAGTACGAAGTTCGCAAGCAGGATGCTAGTTGCCCTCCGGAATTTTTTCCGGCGTGACCTTGTCCGGCCGAGAAGTGATTAGAAGGAATCTCTATAGAATGCATGGGATCTAAATAAATAAAATAAACACATTTAAAAAAACAGTTCAAAGCATTCCAAGACAATCAAATACAATCAAAAACATTAAACTATATATATTAAACTGATGTGTTCTACAGAATGGATGGGTCTCCAATACTTGAACACAGGCAAGGCACACGGGCCAGGCAGTGCCCAGACTGCTTTGCCTCTGTACATCGCAATGCGTACTGGAAGTCTCGGAAGTGGATTCTCTGGCAGCTCCTGCCACTCCAGTTCTCCGAAAAAGGGAACAGTTCGGAGCTCTTCCAAGTCTACGTCTTGGAGTTGACCACACAGCACCTTCCTGATAAACTGATGTGTTGTAGCGGCGTCGAAAGCTATGCCGCGGATGATCTGATCGGAGTGGGACAAGACAGTGCCAAGAGTGTGTAGCATCGCCCAGTTGCCCTTGTACTTGGCATCAAGCCCTTCAAATGAGGAGCCCAGAGGAATAGCGCATGCTGAGAGGCAAGCCTTCTTGGGTGCCGAGGGGTCCCAGCAAACGCAAGCCATCATGGATGACGCCTTTGGAATTGCCTTAATGTCGACACGCCCTTCCTCCAAGGAGAAGAATGCGTTCTGTGGATTCTCAGGTGCCCAAGCACCTCCAACAATGCCTTTCTTGCCGAACAAGGATATCTGACAAAGTGTCTTTGTTAGGTATGTATGGTCAAATGCCAAGATTAGCCTGCCTCAGCTGCACCACAGTCAGCCTATAAAAAGACTGGGTATATGATGGTATATGTTTCTATATGTTTCTTTTAATTGTTTTCATTCAAAGGCCCCTCGATTGTATAGAATTTGTATAGAAGTACAAGACATTACAAGACCATACAACACCAAACATGAAAAGAGACACAAGAAAACTAAACAACAATATCATACAATGTTCAACAATGCTGAGTTACATCGCTCGGTCCCAGGGCGCCTTTCAAATCGTTGATCGATTATGGTAAAGTTGCCGGAGAGGATCTCTGGATCCATGATCGCTAATGCTGGCCGCGGCAACGACCTTTCGGCGAGCTTGTCCATGACATTCAAGGAAACAGCAGAGATCCCGAACTCCTTGCAAAGCTCTCTGTTGGATGCTCGCAAGGCCAGCTGCAGACCTGCGTCTGCCACCAATTAATTCCCTTTCCCGTGCAGTCTCCTGGCCCCTCCGGCCTCGCATGTTCTCAATCCCTCGGGACTTGCGATCGAGCATCCGGGAACATTGAATGGCCAGACCCATGATCATGGGGTGGCCTTCCAACTGCCCGCTCACGGCGGCTGCGGCCACCCGAATATTAGCACAATCCAGATCACTTGCCTCTCCCGAAGCCAGAATGGCCGTGAAAGATGCTACAATCTCACCCAGGCGGTCAGGAACTGATGCCACGCTGACCTTCAAACACGGGTTGACAACGGTGGCCACAAACTGCTCCATGCCAGGTGATTTGTGGGACTCGCAGCAGACACTGGCTCGGACCACCTGAAAAGGATTGCAAAGAATGGCCAGTGAGGTGTGAACCTCTATGAAATGATGGGGATCCCATTAAAAAGTATATGTATAGGATTGTATAAGTATGTATAAGTATGTCAGCTAAAATCATCTGAATCTCTATTGAATGATGGGGGCTCTATGGGCCTTCTGTGACTTGCCTGTTGTCACAGAATTTGATTGGAGATCTCTTTTCTGAAGTCTGAATGTCTATGAAATGACCGGGTCTCTAAGATACACAAGCAACATCAAGTAAATAACCACACGATCCACACCTGTTGCAGTTTGCTGTTGTCAAGACTGATGAGTTGTTCCACCTTCTTGCTGTCACGGTTGTAGAGAAAGCTGTTTCGCATTTCTGCTTCCACCTTCACTACCTCAGCTTGTCCCACAAAGAGCCGCGCCGAGAGCAACCTTGATGTGTAGTACTTGAGGGTCAATCTGTAAACGTTCCCGAAAATGCTGTGCTGGACCGTGAGAGCTTGACATTGGTCGCACATGTCTCTCCCAGCAAACTTTGGCTTGCAATGTGTGCGGCAAGAGGAGCTTCTGATGTACCAAGTGTCTCCAAATTCACCACTAGTCTCCCGCCAGTAGCTGTGTTTGGCGTACACGCTCAGGTTGGACATGGATGCCCAGGTCGCAAACTCTTCGCGGCTTTCATAAAGCACACCTGCGGATGGATGACCGATGCATACAGCCGGGCACGGGACCAATTTGGAATCATCACACTCTTCTCCATTCTCAGAAAGCCTCTTCATGGCCTTTACGTGGCCAGCTGATTCCAAATGTTGGTCCAAGAAAAACTTCACTGAACTTGCCTTTGGAACGTTGAGGTTCCCCACCTTTCCCTCTGGCCATGTCTTGTTCTTGCAAGCGTGGCATCTATATGGAAAAGCTTTTCCAAAGCTACCTGGCTCCAGTAGTTCAATCGTTGGAGCAAATTTTCTGGCATAAGAGAAAGGGTCTTCATCCTCCTCCCCCTCCTTGTTTTGCACTGAACTTTTCTGGTCCCGCCCTTGGTCCTGCGCAACCGACTCCTGCTCCAAAGTAGCTGTCTCAGTCTGCAAAACGGGCGCGATTCCCGTGCTAGCAAACTCAATAACGAATGACTCAAGGTCGTCACAGGAGAAATTGCATTCCTCCAGAAGACAATCGCAGGCTTTGCATTTCATCTCTGTTCCAGACAGGAGCTTCTCCTGCATCCTCTTGTACCCGCCACCTGGACATTGGTTGAGTTTCTTCATCGGTGCGTGCCTGCAAAACCATCGGATGGACATGGATGGACATGGAATTAAAGGCTCCAAACCCATATCCGTCTCTGTAAAATGGCAGGCACTGTATGTCACTGCAACATGTTTGCTTCTGTATGCTTCTGTATTTAAATAGATGTAATTATATAGTTCTATCTCCATAGATCTGAACCCGGAACAACACAATTGGATACCACACAACATCACACAACTATCTATAAAATGAAAGGACTTGTCCACCACACACCAGCATTTTTCAGACCCATGCCTGGAATGCATCCTCTGGAATTCTCCCCATGTTGCCCCAAGGGAGCCCAGATACAAGCGCACAGCCTTTTGTCGCACCTCCGACTCTGAGATGTCTCTGCGTTTGCAAGCCCGCTTATGTTTCTTCTTCTGGAGCCGCAGCACAGGATCCTGGTTGCATCAAAGAAAGCGTGATAAATTTACAGCAAAGATTCTCTATTAAATCTTGGACCCTCTTCTGTTGTCCCTCAAAAATGCAATACCATCAAAGCTGATGATCTATGGTATGAATCTCCTCTATGAAATACTAGGGCTTCAGTCTAGTTCCAAAAAAACATGGCTGAAGTGCACACCTATCAGTAAAATCAATAATTCTACATAATTCTACATCATTCTATGAAACTTATAATGTAAGCTTGATGAATATTGTGGAGACTCTTTTTGTTACCTAAATTGCTATTTGTGGTTGGATATCTTATGACATCTTACCAAATAAACCTCTATGAAATAGTAGGGCTTACCTCCAAAC